TTATAATTAATTTCTCTCTCTATAACGACCAAAAGCAGAGAAATTACATATAGGGACAGAGGGTTCGTTATAGAGAGTGTGAACTGTATATAGAATCACATGACTCAATCATTTTAAATTATTTGTTTATTCATTATCATTATTATTATAAATTTGGATATTCGAATTATATTAAAAGTTTATTTGAATAAACAAATAAAACGAATAATTCGAATAATTCGAATTTGAATAAAACAAATAAAACGAATAAAATTGAATAATAATAATGATAAGAATTTGTATTACGAATATATTGATATTAATAATAATATTATTATTTATTGAACAATTTAATAAGCTCAGTATCAGATATTGTTTGTCTTTTCTAATTTTGTTCTGATCACGGGTCGCGATGATTCTTTCCCAAACAAAAAAGATCGAATCTCCATTTTTGATAGTAAAATCATGCAACTTCAAACCATTAAGGCTTTTTTTATTATTAATAAAATTGAGAAAAACTCTCCATTTCATTGTTGCTTAGGTTCTAGAGTATGGTTGCTTACCAAAACTCTTCCAGAAATCAATCATCAGAGTTTCAACAGGTTACACACTAATTTTTTATTAGAGTTTCGGCAGATTTTCGCATTTGACAATTGGCAGAGTTCGGCAGTTATTAATAGGTTTCGGCAAGCAACCTTATTCTAAAAATTGCAAAAATAGAGTTTTTTTCAATTTCATAAAAAAAATTGCCTTAATGGTTTGAAGTTGCATGATTTTTTTGATGTCTTTAAATGATCCGCACCATACTAATAACTACAACAAATAATTTTTTTGAGAAATCTCTTCATCACATTATAATCAGAGATCTGTGTTCCGAGGCCTTTTTTTTAAAAGGTAGGACAGTAAGTGAAAATTTGTGCAAAATTAGGAGGTCTTTAAGACATCTAACTACGGTGGGCGTTGGGTATTGATCATTTCTAAATTATCAATCCCCTTGTCGATCTAATCAGTCCTGACGAAAGAAAGAAAATTTTTTGAATTTAGGAATAAATTAATTTAGTAAAAAATCGAAATGTTGCGTGCATGATTTTCATTGGTTAATTTCACTTGACCAATGATCGGATTTTTATCTATGCTATATATAAAACAAATCTATATTACTGTTTTTTAAATATTAATTAATATTGAATAATATTTTTTATGTAATAATAAAAATTTTTTTATTCTGCACGGCTTAACGTAGTACAATTTTCTATACCGGATTCTCTCTATAACGAACAAATTCCCTGGTCCCAATGATCCGTTACGTGTATGCATTTGTTGATCAAGTAATTCTAATTCTTTTAATTCTTTTGCGCTTTTTTTTTAAAAAATGCCTAAAGAAAGTAAAAAAAGAAAAGTAGAAAAAACCTGGGAAGATGTCGCCAGGTAATTGTTTATTAAAAGAATGGTGGTGGTGGTTATCGCCACTCGTCATCACTCTAGTTAATATATGAGAATATTGTCATCATTATATTCTCTTCTACTGATGAATATGATGAAGAGGAAGAACAAAGAGAGGAGGCAAATATAAAACTTAAATTGTTGGTTTATTTCTTTTATTAAACAAGAAAATTCTTATTTGCATATTAACAAGCGAACTTTTATTTGTAGAAACGTCATAAAAATCATAGTCTCATATTCTCCAAACCAGCGTTTGAGAAAATTGTAAAAGAAATTAGTCTTGATGTAAGATCTGGATCACAAAAGTGATGCGCTGCATGAAATGCAAGGGGTGCGTCTTTTCCTTTTTAACTAATTGAATGATTTTTTATAGACATTAATAATTTTTAAAACAGTTAATATATTTTTTAGGATAATCGAAAGACAATTATGAAAATATAAGGAGCAATTTTTTCACCTTGCTCCTTTTTTAAAATACTTCTGATAGTACTATAAATTCTTTGGATTTCCACGGTAGATTTAATGTAAACTGTTAAATCACATTACTAAATTTTGATCCCTGAAATCCTTGGTAACACCAATGTTCACTTTGTCTGGTTTTGTTGCAGTATGTACCATTTAACCATAGATGGATTCTACAATTATCTCAATTTTTTTCACATAGGTTATTCAAATGGTGGCGATAGTATCAAATTTGAAGAATTTTGTTTACGATTTTGTAATTATGCCCAATAATCTTATTAAATGAATATATTAATTATCATTGAAATACTGTATATTGTTATAATTGATGTATATTAAATATTAATATTGGATTGATCAAATGACTGAGATTTTATCCGGACTATGTGGGAGTGTGATCACAAGAAAAATGATTTTTACATAACCAGCACACACATTTAAAAATGACTTTTATCTATTTATATATTTTATATATATATAAAAAAAAATGAAATGTTCTATTTCAATAAAAATATGTAAACAATATATATTAATCGATAATATGTATATTATGATTATTTTATCTATTTGATGGAAAAAAAGTAATAGTAATCGTTAATAATAATAATAATAATAATAATAATAAATTTATTTTACACAAATTAAATAGAATCAATACTTTTTTGGTTGTAGATTATCTAGTTCGTAAACATGGCAAAGTAATTTTCTCATGGTAGTAGTGTATTGCATCGATTCTTGTGAAATTTTCTTCCACTTTTTAGCAATGACTCTTGCAGTATAGTTTGAAATTCTTACAGTACTACCATTAGATTGTGTTTTCTCGATCAAATCATTTATATGAGTTTCCTGATCATCAAAATGTGTTATAAATTTACCAAGTGCAACATAAACATTCACCAACCCATTATTCAATTCTCCAATTTGATCAACCAATTTATCTCTTTCCCCTTTTAACTTGTAATTAATATAACAATATTGTATACTCTGATTTGCTACATTTTTTGCTCCAACAAAAAAAGCTCCTGATCCTAATCCAGCTATGAGTTCTGCAGCTGGAATCGCTGATGCACTACCAGTAAATGGTATTGCTAACAACGATACAAAAAGACCCACACCTGCTAAAACTAAACCCCCTGTAGCTGAAAACTTTGCTTCGGACAATTTGTCTCGGGTGGGTGAATCCATATTTTTTCTGCTTTTTTCAATCTTTGTATTATAATTAATCAAATCCTTACGAACTTTTTTGAGATTTGGTTTAATTCTTTCTATTTCATATTTTAAATTTTCGGCAGACTTTCTATTATTAATTGCCTCAACTTTTAATGATTTTAAAGCATCTAATAATTCATCATCACTGATGCTTTTATCCTCACAACACTCGGCAAAAACAATCAAGCTTTCAGCAAAAGAATGCAACTTGTTACTCTCATCTATTGATTTTTCAACAAATTTCATGAAGCTATCTCTCTCTCTATTGATTGCTTCTAATTTTGATGTAACAAACCTATCTCCATCAACAACCTTCGTAATTGAATAAACTGTAAATTTTTTAATGGTCATTTCCATCTCATTTTTAAGCTCTTCAATTTTTGGTAAATTTTCAAGTTCTTGAGTCTCGAATTTATCATTAATATTATTGTCAGTTTTGTTATCATTATTACTATTATCGCTACTGCCACTTCCATTTCCACTACCGCTACCATTACCTCCGCTTCTGTCCTTTTGACTATTTTTACTGTGATTATTTTTTATATGTGTCATTATTTTCAAAAAATAATGTAAAAAAAGACTATTACTATTTAAACCATATTTATACAACGCCCCGGAATAGTAATTGTGAATATCGCCGGGGCCCTATTTATACTTGCTACTTTAAAACTAAAATTGGCGATCAACTTGACTAGATTTGATCAAGTGTCAATAATAATAAAAAATAATAAAGCATTTGATAATATTGAAATTTCTGTTCTAAATGAAATGGACTAGCCATTAACGATCAATTTCTCGAGCTTTTTTTACCATACCAGGGTTGGTAGAAAATTTTTTAGTTTTCGAAATAAATAAAATTCAAAATTAGCTCCGATATCAAAAAATATTGAAAGTCGTTCCTTTCCATTTTTATAGCATTGAGTTTTATTATAAACCAAAAGCAGCGTGCTAAATCTTTTTACAAGATCCACAATGAGATACACACAATCAACACTTGTTTTTTTGGTATAATTTCTTTCTTGATCAATCCAGAAATCATCAATATAAATTATTATAAAACCAAATAGTTGTATTATTTTTATTTTGTCTACCAGCATTATCACAGGTAGTTCCTCGCCCATGTTAAGCAGACGGTTCGTCTTGAATGCCAAATATACGGACCTTTTTGAGGACCAAGTTAATAATAGATCTTACTTATTGTTGATCAGAATGTGGTGCATGGACATTTGGGTTCAATCATAGCTATAATGAGAAATAGTGTTAACACCACGATACTCTCTATGTGTTGCCTTTGGTTAATGAATAATTTTGATCGACAACTTTTCTTTGTTCTTCAGCTTAATTTGTACTCTTGTTAAGTCATAGCATTACAGATGAGGTCAATTTGAAGAAAACGCATTCTGGAGATGATTGATTGGAAGTATTTTGATATATATACATTTTTGGGAATAATAAATAATTGAATTGCAAGTTACCACTTTCTATAAATTGCTTGATGAAAGAGAAACTTGTTCGAATAACATATATTGCTAAGCTTAGAGACCAGTGATTGAAAAGGACCAACTGCTAGAACCAATAATATCAATTAACCATATAGTAATAATAATAATGATGGTAATAACATTTATTTACACGTAATTATTGCATGAAAAAGAGTTCAAACAATAATATATACTGTATATATTTTTATAATATTTAATTAAAGAAAATAAATTATAAATGATTTTTATTAAATATCTATAATTAATAATGGTAAAATAAATCATTAGAAAAAATGAAGGATGGAGAATGAGAATAATAATATACATGTCATGTCTGCCTTGTCTTTTGTAATAATAATAATAATAATAAAATTAAATAAATATTTGAATAATAACTAACCAACGTTGAGAGATGTGGCAGTTTTATGTTTTGGATGTTCAATACAAGTGACTGTATCTCTAATTAATTTTTCAAGAAAACCTTTAACGCACCCCGGTTTCTTCGTAGGTGAGACTAACATACAATGATTCCTCCACGTCTAGCTAGTCTGCAAATAGCGGGTTTGGTTATACCCTTGGATGTGTAAGAATTTTATGACACCTTTTTTCTTCTTTATTATGATCAAAGACATGTATTATTTTATAAATATAAGCTTTTGAAAAGAATAAAGGTTTCAATCTATCATTATCTACATACTTGGTGGTAATTCATCATTTGAAATTGGTGGTAGTAACTCATGATCATTTTGCTGATTCTAATACCTTTTAAATTACTTTTTTTTTTAACTTCATTTTGTCCAAATTTGTTATCAATAATTTCTATTAGGATATTATATTCTTCGTTGATAGATGTCAGAGTTCATTAAAACAAAGCCATCAGTATTACTCATTTAACAATAATATAAGATACTTACTGTAGATGCATCAAGTTCCTTTGTAAGCCAACTTGCTCATAACTTATTCGGCTTGCAGGCCAGCTAATATAAAGCTTTATGGATATAGGTAAATTTGATGCTGAGGGAGATAGATCTGATGAACGACGACCCAAGTTTTAATTCAATCTTTAAATAATTAATACGAATATTTTTTCTGATAGATCTCACGTTTCTTCGAGCCTTTCTTATTCTTTGAGAGGAATTATTTTTCTAGTAGTCTAAAATAAATTCAGTAATAATCACGTGGGATGGACTGATTTATCTTCTATTTTTGATTTTCTAGCATAATTCGTATCACCAAAGTTTTCAAATATGAATAATTGATGAGAATTCATATTCTGATTTTATGCTAGTACTAGTTAATGATGTAGTGGTATCATTGATCTTTGATTTGATTGCTCTCATGCGTAACTTCTTTTCCTTTGTCTTGGGTTGTTAAATACGATTTACAGCACAGATTAATGAGCTTAATGTATCCAAATAAATTGATAGAGCAATGGTTGTTTCTGGAAGAACTATTGAATCACTCACTATTACTATCTTTAACTCATGAATACCTGGATCTTACGTTACACCGATTAAAATAAGGTCCTATATGAAAAATTACATACATCTGTTTCAACTAATTCATCAAATAATATTTATCTATTATTTCCAATTTTTTTATGGTGAAAAATTTGTTTTTTTTTTGAAAATTTAAAAGGTCTTTTTACAAGGGTCAAAGACTTTTTGTTCAGAGCCCAACAAAAAACATACCAATTACAAATTCATGGGTTGAAATGGTTAATTATATATACAAAAAAACGTCTATTGTATGGAATTATTTCTTTCTAGATGAATTAATAATAGATCAAATGAAATCTTTAAAAAAAATTCCAAATACCTTATCTAATCCTTATGATTTATGTAAGAAATTTATTCATGATACAAGTTTTTTAAAAAGTGATTGTGATTCAGAAATTGAACTTACTATTACCATCATACAGATATCCTCATGCATTATTCATAGCAAATTTGATGCGCAGGTTTTTCACATCCTGTTCACCCTCTTTTTCAGTTTTAGGCTGTACAAACTTTTGATTCAGAGTTCATTTTACTTGGTTCTATGGAAAGGAAGAATTAAATGAATTGCTCAGCAAATGAGCAATTTATTGTGGAGGAAAAATGTCACCTGATTATAGATGAATTGTAATGTCTTTCTTTAAATAATTTTTTACTTGTATAAAAAACTTAAACACTATTAATATAGTTTGCATGAATCTTCACAGCATAAAAAATCAAATACCAAATATAAACATTAAAAAAAAAGAAAAATATTGCTAATTGAATCAACGATAAATTGGGATTGAATGTTAAAATCATTATGATAAATACAGGAATATGAAAATAAAGAAGAGTACAATTTATATTACCAAAAATTTAAAGCTATCAGAGAATGAAGGAACAAATACAATATATTTACAGCCTATTTATTATTTAAAATAAAATGAAAATCAACAGTTAATATTTTTCAACAACAATGATATTGAATAGTAATAATAATGATGAAAATGTTTATGGGCTATTTATCACTTAAAATAAAATGAAATAAACAATTAATATTTTTCAAGAATAATATTAATTGTAATAATAATGATGAATGCTTATTTCCTATTTATTATTTAAAATAAAATGAAAATCAACAGTTAACATTTTTCAAACTAATAATATTGACAATAATAATAGTAATGATGAAAATACTTACTGGCTATTTATTATTTAAAAATATAATGAAAATCAACAGTTAATATTTTTTCAAAACAATGATATTCTTTAAACTATTACACAAACCATACACACATATAAATAAATAAATAACAGTAAATTAGAATGAACAAATTGTTTAAACAATGAAAAGTTCCTAATGTGAATTTCTTTTGTTTGATTTTTTTTTTTTTGTAAAAAAAATGAATGATTTTTGTCTGGATTTCAAAAAAAAAAAAAAATTATCAATACTTTTGGTTAGATCAATTTTATTATTGTTGATGTGATGTAAAAGTGGCACTAAATTAAAAAATCAAGATACTATAAAACCAAAATCTGTAAATATTATTATTATTTTTTCATTATTGTTTTAATACAAATAGGCATGTTCCAAACTAAGCAAAAGAGTCATGGGGTCAATTTAGTAAAATTGGTCAGAATTATATTTTTTTGTCATTTTTCATTTATTTTTAGCTTCTTTTGCATTCAGTTTACATTGCCATTTTGTTCTTTGTAATTTCTTAAGGTAGGCTCCACGTGTAACACATATAAAGTAAATTATGCGGGATGTAGATCCTTACTATCCCTATTTTTGTCAACTAAACAATTTCCATTTATAGAAACAAGGTTTAAGGAATGAGGGATAAAAAAATCTATGATTGATTTATTTAAAAAAAGTCATAAAAGTTTTGTTTTACCATGTTTTCCAAATTAAGAATATTTTGTTTGCAAATACTTGAAAAAATTTTTTGCAAATTTTGGTGCAATAAAATTCTGTAGATAAATAGTAGTGGCAGAATGAGCAGAATGCAAAAAAGATGAGCAACCAAAAAATTTTTTTTACTTAATATAAACCAGCATAATGGACACTGTTGCAGATCAAATGTGACGAATGTGACATTTAATAATTTATACAGTGTAACAAATAATTTTCAATTGTTTTAAAATAGAAAAAAGATGTATATGTGAAAAAAAAAACTGGCGTAGCAAATATATATTTTTTTGAATGGAAATATTTGTTATTTTTGTCTTTACTGTTTGGTTAACCAAGATCCCCCAGATCCTTGCTAGATCAAAAGTTAGATATGAACTAAAGTTTGGAGTAAGGTCTACACATATGCACACAATTTATTTGAGTTTAAATTTTTTTTTTTTATTTTGAAATTTACCAATCTTTAAGGGTAGAGTGTAGGTAACACGAATTTCACTATGATACTGTTGATAAAAAAATTACGTAACACTCCGAGTTGTTAGCCTCATACATAAGTATTCCAAAAACTAATTTTTGTGAGATGTTTACTATTGCAAAATCCTTTTTCAGAA